CAAAAGGGTTTGCAGAATAGCAGATCCTCCATTTTACCTCCACAGAGGCAACCAATAATACTAGTTTCTTTGTATCCCCTGGAGAGAGTCTTTGCAAGTATAGCTATCTAGGTCTATCTTACCCTTTTGTCCTAACACAAAAAGTACCATACTATATACATTGCTCTTTTCTTTGCTTTTTTTCACTTAACAGACCACCTTGATTCCATTTCATGTCTCTACTTACTGATCTGTCTCATTTGTTTGTTTGTTTGTTTGTTTGCTTGTTTGTTTTAATGGCAGTACCTGAGATTGAACCCTGGACCTCGTTCATGCTAGGCATGCTCTCTTGCCACTGAGTTATCCACCCCCGCCCCCCTCATCTTATATTTTTTTAATGACTGTGCAGTGTCCCACCGTATTTTCTTGCTCTTTAAATTAATACTTTGCTTAATGAACTAAATGTTAAAGGTGAAAAAGAGAACGTTGCAGGAGCTGAGGAAACCAGTTCAGAAGTCCCTGGAGCATCTTTAGTGGAAGCGCCGGTGGTGGGCGCTGAGGATACTCCGGATGCTACAGTTGCAGTCGTCACGGAGGCTTCCCCCTGCCCAGACGGTGCGGAGGCTGCTCAGGCGGAGGCTGCGGAGGCCGTCGCCGTGGAGACCGTCGCAGTCGGTGCTGAAACTGGGCCAGAGGTTACAAACCCGGCGCGCGGCGAAAGCGCAGAGGTCGGCCCTGAGACGGTGTCCCAGGTTACGAGCGCAGCTCCGGAGGAAGCTGCTGCCATCAGCAGTGATAAAGGTACAACAGAGAACGAAAGCTGTGGCGAATATGCTGAACCAGAAGAAGAAAGTTCTCCAGTTGAGTTAGAACCCTCTGCTGGGAATGATTTACAGGAAGAAGCCAGTGTTGGTCCCGAGGGCGTCTCAGCGGGAGGCGAATCGCCTGCTGATTGACACTTAAGCCAAAAATGCCCTAGAGGGGCTGATGGGTGTTTTTGTAGTTTTAGTAACCTTAGTTTTTAAAAAAGGCTTCTCTTCTAGAAAACGTTACTGTGCCTTGAGGACTGTTGGTGTCTACTGATAGATTTCAGGATTGAGAGATGAGAGATTTTACATGTCTGAATAGTTTTCTACTCTCTAGGATCAGAATATGAAAGCTGTAAAGAGTTTAGAGTTTCATCTCTGGATTGAAATTTTATATCAGAGGCATTGAGCTATCTATACAACCTGCGTTCACTTTAATTTTGCTATAACTTTACCTTTCTTTAATGTATGTAAATCTAGATTCTTGGGTTTTGATCTGAACTCATTTAAATAAATTTGGAAACTCTTTAGTGCTTCTTTTTTTGTTTACTAATATTTATATTCATAAATAATACATATTAATATACACACATGTGACATCACGTGAACATTGCAATGTTATCAAAGAAAACATAATCTATGGAGAACTCAGCATATAACAATATTTCCTTTCTCCCATTACATGGGGGCTGTGCCAATATTTTCCATTTTGGTTTAGCTCATTTCAAGCAATGTTTACTGAGGACTTCCACTTTGTGCCAGGGATCATTCACTCATTCATTCATTCACATATGAAACAGATATGAACTGAGCACTTGTAACGTACCAAGCACTGTTCTAAGTGCTGAGATTTTTTTTTAAAGATAATTCTTACCCATCCCAGCTCATGTTCTAGAGTATGATCAAACAATAAACAAGATAAATAAGAAAACTATATACTATGTTAGATACTGGTAAGTATTTTAAAAGTAATGAAAGTAAAGGGATTATAAGTGTTGGTTGGGGTGGGAGTTGTCATTTTATTTTATTTTATATTTTGTTTTTTTAATAGAGGTACTGGGGATTGAACCCAGGACCTCATGCATGCTAAACATGCGCTCTACCACTGAACTATACCCTGCCCTCTGGAGCTGTCATTTTAGACAGGGCAGCCAGAGAAGGCCTAACTAAGAAGCTGTCTGGTGAGTAAAAACCTGAAGGATGTATAAAGGACCTATTCATGAGGACATGGGAGGAGGAAGCACAGCAGAAAAGCATTCCGAATGAGGGAACTGAGAAGTGGAAGGATCTGAAGCATGTTCAGAGAATAAGGACTTGCAAGGTGGCCAGTGTGGCTAAGTGGAATGGAGAAGAAGGAGAGTAAAAGTTGGAGATTTCAGAGAGGAAGAATGTTTATGCAGGGATGGGCTAGATCACGCAGTAAGATTTTGATTATTCGAGTGAGTTGGGAAGTTGTAGTGGATGCTCTTGATGCTCTGACCAGGACCCTTTAACTGTGCCATTTACTTTCAGCTGCTGTGTTACACACACAGCCCACCCCCAGCCTCATCTCAGGCAGCTCACAAAGGATGACTGGCTTATACAAAAGGTAGGGCCAACCTGTGGGACCACTCAGAGCTCCCCAGGGGCTCAGGCTGAAGCTGGTTTCCAGCTGAGATTACATCCTTGCTTAACTTTCCCTCCTGTTCTATTCTGCTTGCCTTCTTCCTATTCTCCTGAGAGCATCCCTTTAACAAATCACCTGTCCCCAAATTCCTGTTTCAAGCAGTTTCTAGAAACTCCACCTAGATAATTGGTAATGGACATAGACCTAGGAAGCTGACTCTAAGAATAGGGTTCTGGAATTGTATCACTCTCCAGCTAGATGGGGATGAGGACCCCATCACCGGTGGTAGGTGGAGGATTGCTGGTCCCTGGCCTTCTGTAGCAGAGTGGCTGCTAAGATTTTCATCCATGGTAAACTAGGGTAGGATATAAATGGAAGGTGATATACTGGCTGGTTTAATGCCTCTGGAATTTGAGAGGTACAAAGAAAAAATAACTCTAAGGATTTAATCATTGCAGAGCAACATTCAGTTCTGAGGTACAAGATGTACCCTGGATTTGTTTTGAATTTGTTGCAATACCAACTCTGCATTAGACTCATAAATTAAGGGATGCTGTTTCACTAAACATTCTGTAAGATGGAGCAGAAACACAACCCACTACCACTCATACAACCTCAACACACATACAAAAATGCATTCATCTCCACTGTTTCGGTTAGGATGGTTTGTGCTGCAAATAAAAGAAACCAACTCAAAATAGATGAAACAACAGAGATAGTTATTATCTAGCCAGCTATCTGGAGGTCAGGTAGCTTCCGGGTTAGTTTATTCTGTGGCTCGGTCATCAAGAGCCAGGTTATTTCTATTATTCTGCTCTAGTTTCAGGAATGTTTTTGCTTTCTCCTTGGTAGGCTTTCCTCATAATCACAGGATGAAATCACCATAATTCTAGGTATTTTATTCAGCCACAATAATGCCCCCTGGAAGTCTTTCAAAAAGAAGAATTCCTTCGTCTTAAAAAAAAATGTTAATATATATATTTTTTTCTTTTAAATGTTATATTGTGGAAATTATCAAACAAGAGTGGAGAGAACAGTATAAGGAATCTTCATGTGACCTCAATTATCAATTCTTGGCAAATCTTAGATTCATAGTCCTGCCCACTTAATCTTCTACCACCACCACTGCCTGTTTGTAAAATTTTAATGATAATAACAATAATAATTCTTTAGTATTACTAATTATCTAGTCAGTAATCAAATTTCCTCAACTGCCTCATCAAAGGTTTTCTCTCCTTTTCAGTTTGTTTTTTAGCCCAGAATCTGAAGTCCACAAATTGCAATCGGTCAAGACATCCCTAAGTCTCTTTTTCTACAGGTTTCCCCTTTTGTTTTTTCTTGCAGTTTATTTATTTTTTAAAATAAACTGGCTCATTTGATCTGAACAATTTTTCAGTCTGGATTCTGCTTATTGCAACCACCTGGTTTTTTGGGGTTTTTTTTTTTTTTTTGGTTTATTTGTTTTGTTTTAACATGTTCCTCTCCCCTGTACTACCCATAAGTTGGTATTTAGAGCCAGAGGTTTGATCAGATCTAGGTTTATTGTTTTGACAGAAATACTTCAGAGGTGGCATTCACACTTCCATCTGGACTCACAATGTTTAATTGCTTTTCTCTTTGTGATATTAGAAGTCATTGATCCATTATTTCATTAGAAGTTGTGAAATGGTGATATTGTAATCATTATTTACTAGTGGGACTACTTCTGTAAAGGGGAACTTCTTTCACCAACTGTTTAGTTACACTGGGGTTGAATATAGCTGCAGATTCTTCCCCCATATGTGCACTCCTGGGAAGTGTGACTTTACATTCCTTCCCATCAAGAGATGGAGACTATTTTTTCACTTCCTTGAATTCAGGCTTGTCTTGTACTTTGCTTGGTAGAATGCTGTGGGAGTAACTTTGTGAGAGTTCTTCCAATCTTGGAACCCTGAGAACTGCCAAGTGAAAAAGCCTGGGCTACTCCATGAGGATGAGAGACCATGTGGAGAAAGAGGCCCTGCCTAGACCTGGCACCAGCCCCAGCTCTGTGAGTGAGGCCATCCTAGACCAGACATGCCTGATGGCTGTAGTCGTCAGAATGACCCAGCAAGACCAGATAAGAACCATCCAGCTGAACACAGACTAAATGGCTGATCCACAGAACTGTGAGCAAAAAAGATGGTTGTGTATTAAGCCATGAAGTTAGGACAGTTTAAGCAGCGAGATGTAGTTAAGATGATCAGGAAAGAAAACTGAATTTGGTGCAGCCTAGCTTTCACGTGTTGTATTTAACTAGAATGAAGAAAGAATTAGCTGTGCCCACAGATCCAGAATTTGTCTGGTTTAACTTTCTGGCCAATAGTTTGCCTTTCCTGAAATTTTTTTTAGAACTACTAAATGCCAAGTGTAACTGCATACAGAAGGATTTTTTTTTCCTTTTAAAATTCAATATTTATTCAAAATCACATTTTGAAGTCTAAAAGTAACCTATATTGTATTAACCTTTTTTGACTAATAACCAGTGTAATGAAAGTTTAACAACAGTATTCTATAAGCAGCATTTTAATTATCAGACCATTGACTGATTTTAACAGAATTAAAAAATACATTAAGAAAGTCAAAATGGGATAAATAGAGTGTGGGGCCTAGATTGGGAAACCCATTGCAAAAGATAAAAATTGGCAGCAGAATTAGATAACCAAATTACTTCTCTTTGATAAAGACAGGAATATAAAGGAAGAGTAAGTTTAGAAAAACTCAACACGCTTTCTAACCAATGACATGCCCATGATATTTAAATGTTACTTAACTGTTGAAAGAAATGTATGGAGCAGTCTCGAACAATGGGTCTGCAGTAACTACTGTTTTTCCAAAATGTGAATTTTCTATTACAAAGTACAGTGTATTCCACAGCCAGCTTTTGAGAGTTGAAGCTTGATTCAGGGAAGATTAGTTTCTGAATGTGTTAGTAATTTCTGTGCCAAGTATGTGTCCTGTTAGATAGCATCTGTTGGCCAGAAGCAACACCGTCCTTCATAATACAGCAAATTGTCCCTCAGTTAGAAGTCTCTCTGAAAGAAATTTTTATTTAACTTTGGGGATAAGGTTTTACTGAATAAGTTGGAGGAATTTAGACAGTTTTAAATATTATTTGAATGTGGATATCTAATTTTAAATATCCATTATCCAAATTAATGATTAAACTAATACAAAAAGTTAACTTATATTTTCTGAGATCTTTTCATATAGATAGTGATTTCTGGGGTAAGGGAAGGACATGAAGAGAAAATTAGCATTTTTCTTTATCAAGTGACGTGAAGATGGCAAGACTGTGGGCATTATTACTGTCCCTTTAAGAATGAGAATTCCCTCCTCACATATCAGAAATGCTTTCATTCAGAACCAGGGAAAGCCTCTTCCTTTAGAGGGGAAGATTCTGTGTGGACTGTGGTAATATCTATTATGCCTCAATCAGAAACAAACAAACAAAAAACAAATAGAATGACCAATTAAACTGATTTTTAAATTTCATCTTTAGATCATAATTATGATAGTTGATTGAATTAATCATGCAGTGACTTTAGTGTATTATTGAGATATATAGAATAATAGGTTTTACAAAGCCACAAGCCAGTTATTCTATTCACATAGTAATTCAATAAGGAAAGTATTACTTTTTTTTTTTTTAAAGAACTCAGATACTAGCAAAATATTCTGGAACTAAGCTTTTTAAAATTCACCACCATCGCACCTCTTACTCCTCCCAGTCAGAAGACTCTTATCTTCAAACTGTCTCCAAACTGTTACCTTAGTTCAGTTTCTCACACATGCAACCACTTAGCAAGTCTCCCTACTATTCAGAGTTACCCTTTTAAAATGGTTGAGTTGATCACATTACCTAGCATTTTAAAACTTTTCACAAGCCCACCAGTATCTGACTGAGGATATCTGAATTTGTTGCTTCTTTACCACCGAAATTCTTGTTTTACAGTATGACATTCAAGGCCCTCCACAAACCACAGCTGTCTAGTCCCTCTTCAGTCTTATTTTTCGTCCCTATTTCTATTTGCCTGCAGCTTTCAGCCACCTTCACTCAACTGGTCCAGGCAGTCCGAATGATTTAGCAGCATTATGACTTGAACTTGCCATCCTGTTTTATGCCTCAAAGGTTTTGTATACATCGTCCACTCCACCTGGAAAGACACTCGCAATCCCTCAACCGGCCCAACTTCTTCTAATTACTCAGCTCAAACATTATCTGCTTTACAACACTTTTCTTCAGCTGACTGAGCTGAAGCTATCACACCTGCCTTTGTGTCATTCTATCCCTTAGTCTATTATTGCATTTACATTCTAGTTTTCAATTATTTGTTTATATTTTAGAATCTCTGAATAGAATGAGAGTTGCCTGAGAAGAAGGAACACATTAAGGCCCTCAATCAGTGTTTGTTTAATGAAATTATGATGCTCAGGGAGTTATGTTCTATTTTATAGAGTTGATCTCTATGAAACTGCTGATATTTGGCCATTTTTAATCTACAGAAACAGCAATTTTAATTTATGTATGACCGAATCACTATGCTGTACACCAGAAACTAACATAGCCTTGTAAATTAACCATATTTCAATTTTTTAAAAATCAGCATTTTTATAAAATTCAACCTAAATATATTCCAAGAGGTAAATCTTGAGAAAAGCTCAGATTGTTAACTTCACTTAAATACTTACAATTTCTAATGTAAACATAGAATTTTCTCAGATTATTTGGAAAATCAACTGAAGAAATTCCCAAATATAAATGTGGGTTTTTTTCATAATCAGCCTATATTTTTATTTTCTTAGTAAAAGCCCACTTGTTATTCTGAATTGAATTTTCATTCCATTTATACTTGTTATATTTTTTGGAAAGCATTATATTTATAGATAACTTGCTCAGGTTTCTACCCAGATCCTTTTCCCTTCATATCTTTGTAAATAGTCTAGAGAGGGCAAGCATAGGGTTTTGGTTCAATAGTGCTCTGGGAAGCCTTTTCAGCTTTAGAACAAGCATCACCACATTAATCAATTTACATGAGAACTGTAGCTGCAGGCAGATTCCAGTGCAATTACATGTGCCACCTCACATTATTTTAGCTTCACTGTTCCCACAGAGATGGTTTCCCAAGTATTTAAACATGACTCTTCATAACAAAGACTGTCTCTCTCTTAAGCTGAAAGTTGAACAGAAATACCCAATATCTTCATATTACTCCTTAAAACTTACTGAAAAATCAAGTCAATATAATAAAGTTGACTTGAGAGCTTATGTAAGCTCTTGCAGAGACATTTCTTGTCCAACAATAACTCACTTCAAAAGATTTTCCATGAAAACAGTAGTAATGAAGCAGGGTTCCCAGTACCATCTTAACTCTTTTCTACCTATTGGCTATTATGGTTTACAGTAGTATTTTCTGTTTCTCCCTAAAAATCAATTTCCTTGTAACTCAGCATTAATTGGAAGCAGAACTTCTCATACTCTTGGCAGCACACGCAGTTGGCCATCATCTGGACTGTGTGGAGTATTTTCATGTGGATGAGTTTTGTATAGTCAAGTTTCCATCGTTTTGTGTGTAATATAAATATATGGCTAAAATTCTAGGTTAAAAAATGAAGGTAGTTGTGTGTGGTGGGAGGACTTACTATACTAGATATAAAGACTTATAAAACTATAGCAGTTAAGATAGTTGGTATATGTGAATAGATAAACAAATATCAATGGAAAAGAACAGGCAGCTGAGAAACAAGCCCACACATATATGAAAAGGAGTACTATGACTGATTTGGAATCAGTAAGGAAATGATGAACTCTTTAGTAAGTGGGGCAGAGACTATTAGGTGTCCACATGGAAAAATAAAATAAAAGTAGCCTCTTACCTTACAACATACACACACACAAATTCCCAATGGATTAACAATTTAAAAGTTAGAAGAAAAACTCTAAAATTTTTGGAAGAAAATATTTCTTTGACTTCAGAAAAGGGAAAGATGCCTCAATATACAAAAACGCTAAACAGAAGAAAAGGAGTGATACCTTAGATTACATTAATATAAAAACTTCTATACAATAAAAATAACCATGGTGAAAGTGAAAAGATAAAGAACAAGATATAAAACCAACAGAGTATAAGAATCTGGGATATTTCAAGAATTTCTACCAATGAATAAAAAAAGAAACATTCTAAGAAATTCACAAAGGATAAGAATTCACAGAAGAAAGCTGAATAGCTAACACATTAAAAATTTTTTTAATTTTTATTTGTTTATTTATTTACATGGGACGGAGGTAATTAAGTTTATTTATTCATTTATTTTTTGTAATGGAGGTACTGGGGCCTGAACCCAGGACCTCCTGCATACTAAGCATGCACTCTACCACTGAACTATACCCTTCCCTCCTCTGAACAGCTAACAAATTTATGAAAAGATCCTCAATTTTACTGGTAACCAATGAAGGGCAAGCAAAAACAATAATATGCAAAAAATGTACACCTATCAGATTTGTGAAAATTTCAAAAATCTAATATGAGGTGATGTGTTTGTATAATCAATGTTTATTAATAGACACAATTTGAAAAGGAATTTAACAATATCTAGTAAAGATGAAGCTACTCATACCCTATGACCCAACAATTCCATTTCTAGGTATATATTTTAGAAATGGAAACTCACATGTGCTCAAGGTGATACGTACCAGAATGGGCACAGAAACACTGTAATAATGAAAAAATTGAAAGCAACCTAAGTGAATATCAATAGAAAATGGAAAAATAATTTGTGGTTGTTCAGTAAAGTTTTATCCTGGGAAATTAAGATTCTATGTGGATATTAAAGTTATTCTGTTTGAGTCCCTTATTTATTTTTCTAGGAAAACAACTTATATATAATAACAGCTTTATATATCAATTATATATTCCACATTAATAAGAAAAAGTTTAGTGTTTTACATTAACAGTCAGGTGAGAGTGGTTAAATATGACAAAGTTATTGAGCAAAATCAACCTCCAATGCAAACATAATTTATAGTTTAAACAAACTTAATTTTCTACAGCAAACATTTTAACTAATGTAATTACCTATTTAAGTAAACCTTGAAAGGGTGTTTTTTTCTTTGTTTGCTGCTTTTTATTAAACAAACTTAGAAAAGCAATTTTCTATTGATAGGTAAACATATATAGATTTCACTTAAATTTTTGGTAACTGGTATGCAAATATAATATTTATCCTAATATTTCTTTCCAAAGAAAAGGATAATTGTTAATCTGGTGCTTGAAGTTCTGAAAATCTCTGTTTCTTGTTTTAGTAGCTTCTTAACAATTTTTACTAAGTGCCATTGAAATTTAGGATCTATTATTTCAAATTTTCTTATCGTCAGTAATGAGTAAGAAATTTGGAGGATTATACATTTGTATCTGTATAAGCAGGAAAGCCGTGGGGGAAAAAATAATGTGACTTTAAACCTTTCACTCAAAGTTAACCACTCACTACACTGACTTCAGTTATAATTTTAGTGTTAAAGGAGAATGCATATTATATTTCTTTAACATGGAAAAGAAATACAATGATGAGAGTTCACTCAGTTATGATGAGATTGAGTCCTACTTACAACATCTTAGGCCTCAGTAAACGTCAGAGAGAGAATCCTTTTCTGCCTCCCTGCATGAGCCCAGAGTACTCTGTAGGAGACCCAGAAAACATGAATAAATGGCATTTCCGGGAAGGCATTTCCCTATCGCATTCTCCACATTCAGAAAAGATAAAACCAGCTAGGCACTTCCCCAGGCTCTTCAGGCTTGGAAGCAGAGCTGCAAGTGACAGCCAAAATGTTCTCCACAGCCAAAAGCTGCAGACAAGAAGCTGCCTTCCCCCTCCCTTGGACTGCTGGGATGTAGGAGGCAAGAGAGTGTGGTCCCAGATACGAATGATAAATAACTCAGTGAAAGAGGTGTCTAATTATGGTGGCACAGATAGAGGGATAATAGTTATTGGGATTTTTTTTTCCTCTTTGGGATTTTAAGAATTGGACATTACTTACTTTTTATCTCCCTTTGGTAAGTTTTAATTAAAAAAAAAAATCCTTTTCTCTGAATGGCCTGAAAACATTTGATTTTCTTCCAGACATTTTATTGAAGCAATTTCCTGCTTCATTTTTTAAAAATGTAAAATGTGGGATGGGGATAAAGAAAGATCTACCTGACTCTAGGACAAATAATACTTTTATATAAGGCCCACTCTAAAGTATCCCAAGAAGGGAGGAGGGTATAGCTCAGTGGTAAAGCATATGCTTAACATGCAAGAGGACCTAGGTTCAATTCCCAGTACCTCCACTAAAGTAAATAAATAAATATCCTTAATTACTGCCCCCCAAGAAAAGCACATGCTCACCATCTTTTATAATTGGTTAAAAATCTGTCACCTGATTGCCCTACAATTAACAATGAAAAAGATTCCAGCTTCATTTTTAGGTTGCCCAGGCTATATGACTGGATACTTGCCTAAGATTCCTTTCTGGAATCTGTGACAGGCTCTGTGATTTGAGTGATCAAAGGTGGCCCATGGTTACGTCCCTCTGCATCTGAGTAACCCTATCAAGTGGAAATTTAAGAACAATTTTTCTCCTTGGCCATAGGTGTTGCAGGCTTGAGGCTTGATTCTCATTTTTTGTGGTCAGCAGGGAATTGGGAATGTGCCATCCTGAACTTGGAAGAGAAAGAAAGGGTTCAGATTCTCCAAAGCAGTACCTGGTTATAATTTCCTGCCAGTTTCCCTGCCATACAGCAGAAACCCGTATTGAAAATAAAAAGAAAGATGATTATCCTCATTCTTAGGCTTTTCTGAGCAGAAAAAGAGAGCTGAGAATTTTGTGTCCTCTTTGAGAGAAGACAACTGAGCAGTGTTTCTCAAATGTTTTTCCTTTTGATGACCAGTGGAAAACTTTGCATGATCAAGACTTGTCGTTAGTAGAGTTCTCTAAGTAACCTCGTTAACCAAATGTTCAGATCAATTAACTGCTTTTCAAGACTCTGAATAGCATTTATTAATGGACATTTATTGAACTGCCGGCTATGGTATTGGCATTGTGCTAGGTATGTGGATAGACTGAGAAGCTTAATCCAGTTAACCTGTTAAGGCAAGGGCTGAAAATAAACTGACAATGTCCACTTCATCTTTTTGGTCTTAACTATGCCAATTTAATTAAAATTCTCTTTATCTAAAATATTGCCTTTTATTTAATAATAGGCATTTTACTTTGGTTTATGTATAACATCAAATAAAGAATATTTAGCACTTCTCCAAAAAAAAAAAAAAAAGAGGAGAAAGACAAACAAAATGTGCTACAAAATGTGTTACAACACAGAAATGTGAAAGCAGCTATGGGAGTCTATAGGAAGAGGGGGAACTGGATCATGCTCACAGAAGGCTTCCTGGCTAAGATGATTTCTCACTTGCGCTTTAAAGGATGAGTAGGGTACCCAGATGAAGAAGAGGAGATGGGTCAGTGGGCATTCCAGGTGAAGGGAGCAATCAGGGTGACCATTCAGTCTAAAATGTTTGGTGTCTGCAGGTGATTCCTGTAGGTGGCACTGCTACTGTTCTAATTAGGGTGTATGCCACCATTGTACGCTGGATGAGCTACCTGGAGCTCTAATATCGTGGAATATAACCCTAATCATCACAGAGCAGGGGCCTGTTTGGACAGGACCATTGCCTTTCGGCCCTTTTATACAGTTAATGCTGTCTTCATGCCTAAAGCATTTCCATGCTTTCACATGAACTAAAAATAAATAAATAAATAAAAAACTTAATGTGGGTGTTATATAATCAGAACACCAGTACCTAGAGGCAACTCTTTTTGCCTTTAGTCAAATATTTTATTGACTACTCTGTCTCAGCTAAGCCACCTGGATTGCACTGTACTACTTTTCAATCACTAAAAGTTTCCCTTTATTTTAAGGTAATAGAATATATAACAATTATGACATTCTTGGGCATTTTCTTGGTTCAGAGAGAGAAAAACATAATAAGGCATTTTCTTAGATGTTTTGAATTTAAATCTTTACTTTTCAGGAGGAATAATACATACACCCATGGTCTAACCACTATATTCTAAATACAACCTATTTAAAAGGTAGTTTTAAAAAAGTATCATTATTTTAAAGGATATTCTCTGACATTCTTCCCATCTCTCCCCACTCTCCCCAAAGGGGAAAAAAAACCCAGAACTCTAAGCAAGATTATAGCTGTGTTTCTGAGCCACATAAAGGATCATTTCTGTTTCTGAAATTTGGCACAGCTCTGTCTAGAAGCCCATCTGTGCTGTGCTCTGAAAGGTCGCTCTCTTGGAGGGCATATACTAGCAGGGGGAATCAGTTAAATCATTCCTGGGCATCAGTGGGATGACAGGGCACCCTCACTCTAGACTCTCTAGCATGGGCTAGTAAAAAGCTTTCCTACTACGTGAAATCATGCTTGACTCATTGATCACTGACTTCCAGACCTCACCTGCCTTTCATTGTGGCCTCCAGGGCCCTTGCCTCCCTGCCAGGACAGCTGCTGTGCTGCTGAAAACCAGGTAGCACAGCAAGCCAAGGGCCAGGCTGCTGCCCACTCATACACTCATTCTTTCATTCATACACCTTTCCACAAGTAGTTATTAAGTGCCTACTACATGTCAGGCACTGTTCTAAGCAGACACCAAAACAGACAAAAGTCCTAGTCTTCAAGAGACTTTTATTCGAAGGTGTATTTCTGTTAGCTCTGGTGCCCTGCTTTCTGTTTCCATGGCTACTGATAGAGGCATCTGCCAGTGTGGCTGGGGTTCTGTGTTTCTTCTAGGCACTTTGCTCCACTGTCACTTTTAGAAGTGGCCTTCTCAGTACAGTGTTTTCTTTTTTTTTTTTTATTTCTTTTTTTTGGGGGGGTGGTAATTAAGTTTATTTACTAATTTGTTTTTAGAGGAGGTGCTGGGAATTGAACCCAGGACCTTCTGCGAGCTAAGCACGCCCTTTACCACTTGAGCTACACCCTTCCCCGCGGTACAGTGTTTCTAATTCATTACATGCAGACATTTTTTCCCCAAGGTATTCCATAGTATTTAGGTAGGGAGAAATTCCTGCCTCAACTCATACTGTGCCCCAAGTCAACATTTACTTCCAGTGATTCAGGTGCTACGGAAAGGTCTGGGTCATCAGCTAGATTGTCCCTTCTCTATGGTAAATTTCTTCTCAACAATTTTGCTCTCCCACTGTCATTTTAATATCTGATTCCTACCAAGCTCCCCACAGCCATCTTTGCCATCAGACATGTGCTAACAAATGTGAAACGTAAAAGGAAAGATCTACATCCCAACCTCTAATCTCACAAAGGTTTCCCCCCACCAATCCTATATAAATTTGTAAATGCAGATAAAAATGACAATGGAATACCTTCCAGCTTCACTAGACAGAATTTAGCTCAAATGCCAGTGGGTATTACCTCTCTTTATCTAAGTGTCTAAGGCCCAGTCTTTGTTGAGCT